GCGCATCAGAAGTATTTTATTTTGTTAAAAGTGATTTGACTACACCACTTTTTCTATCCTAACTTACATGACTCTCTTTATGGTTAAGTAGAATATTGTCATTAAATAAAATCCTTTTATTTTAAACTATTGTTATTTTATTTTACTCGATAGAATCATCGTTATTTTGTCTTTAAAATGTCTTATCATATGTAGGATTTAATCAATCAATAAACAGATGAATATCTTCTCCTTCTTCTTCTAACTTTCCTACATTTTATTTTTAGTTTTTAATTGAATTATGAAGTTACAAACTCAGATAAGATATTAAAGATAATCTTACATACATATAAAAGCACAGATCGTCCATAAAAAGCTACCATTTTCTAATTTGAGGATGACTATATAACTCGTAACTTACATAATATGATTGTATCGCTTAGAAATGACAAACTGATTAATGTTTGTGAGGGTCAAACTACAACTTCTTCATTTTTATTGTGTGTATTCCGTTGTCGTACTTACAGCCGCTAGATGAAATGCAGTAAAATGTAAAAGATTACGAAAGCATGATACACAGAAGTTAATAAATATTGTAGTAGAAAGATATCACGTTTCAGATGATCAAACACTCAAAAGAAAAATAGCCACCAAAGGAGCACCGCATTTACCTACTGTACTGTCTTTATGTAAGCAATGAAATAAATTTAAGGAATATTAGCAGCTTTTTTGAAAATTGATACAACATTAAATGCAATTTAAACAATAAAAAATTGTTAATTTGGAAATTTGTCGTGATTTATTTAAAATACTTGCATCTAAAATGCAAATACAAAATAAAAAATAGCAATTTCAATCTTGCATTTAAATATCTTTTTGAGAAAAATATTTAAATTTAAATATAAAAAATGGATAATCTTAAATATTGGATCGATATTATTTTCCGGGTTCAATGTCATGGTCCATGGAACTTTGAAGTTCCAAATCGATATCAGCACACCTGCCGAATCACCACTTATCGTACCTTTAGCAAGGAACTACGAAATTCTATGAATTACGAACAGCTTTAAAACAATATGGAATTGATATACTCTAGCTCTACTCAAACTGAAAACTATAAGATATTGTGGTGTGTTAATAAATGCATATAATCCAAATTCTTAGAAAACTATTCGAAAAACTTCACTTATTAGATGAAACCAAAGCTAAAGAAACTATGGATTCCATTTCTTTTTCTGATTGCAATGTGTTAAAGATCAGAAACAAAATAGGGTTGTAAATATTTTGATATAAAATTATTTGCAACCTTATTTTGGCTCTGATCTTTCACGGTAAACAAACTATTTTGGCATCAGTGTCATTTTTTCTATTGAAACGGGTGACAAAGGCAAATAAGGAAGCATACAGAAGAATTATTTGTTTCTGAACTGAAGAAACTATAACATAAAGATAGAAAAACTATATCTCCATCACTTCAAACAGAAAAATATGAATCATACTTAATCTTCGCAGCTGGTGATATAGTGCAAACACCACTATCAACCTAGAAAAACTCCCATATTTAAAAAATGAGCAACTGCTGCCTGCAAGGTTTTCTTAAATAATATTCTATACTTAACCAAATGTAGAAAATTAAATAGGTGTACTAAAAACCGGTTAATTCTTAAAATTTTTGAGCTGAGGGTAGGGCAATCTATATTCAACATGTTCGACCATCGCCCTGTACATAAATTGACCCCGATGAATAATAACTGTAACAATAGCGATTAACGGATTACCAAGTTAATAAAAAACGAATGATTATTGTTGCGAGTAATGTAGTTGTCATAATAATCGGTTACAATATCTCTGTATCTTTAAAAAGCCGAACGCACCCAGTTCTTACCTAGAAGCTTTCGCATGTCTCAAGTGCGCGAAGGTCCTGTAATTATTTTTTCGCCGTCTAATTAAAAGATCGTAATTCAAAGTAAGATCTCTATTATACGCTTCGAGTCGCAAATCTCCGCTAGTAATAATAAGAGACAGAAAGACACATGGAACGAATGATTTATATTGTGTTTGCGGGCGCGGTTGAATTGAGTCTTATCGTTAGTCTTTTAGGACGTCCGCGAAACGGCAGATGGTGACTTAGATAGCGTTCGTCTTAATTATTGCACACGATACGGTCGCGTCTGTAGACCGTCCGTCGCGTCGTGGGATTCACACGTTAATTTCACCGACAGCCGTTACATCCAACGCCCTCTTTTCTCATTTTTTTCCGACAGTAACAAAAAACAACAATTGCACCGCACGCCGACTTCGACTAGAGACAGCGATAGGGAACGTACGACCTCCGTTTCATAATCTTTTTATACTGTTAAATATAAATATTTTTGAAAATAGAATTTACAAAGAAACTATAGCCTAAAATTATGTTAAATTATCAAAAAATATAATGTTAATGATTTGTTTCACTCAAAATTCTCCCTCTCTTTTAATGACTGCTTTTTTTTGCAAGAAGGCTGTCATAAAGTCATGTATCGTGATGTGCAGGTCCATCGAGGACTCTTCCGACCATATGGTCCTTCGAGCCGGATGCAGCATAAAATCCGGAAAATACTGTGGAGACGTTTAACTGTGACAGTAATCGGGAAGTCGGTACTTCAGAAGGTTTTAGTTGACGTAAGTTACTTCAAATTCTTAGTGAATAAAGGCAAGTGTTTATGCGAAGAAAATAAATTAAAAAAGTGAAGTAAGTTTACGCAAAAAGTACCGACATCATACCTACTGGATACTGGATAACACAATTTAAAGATTGAACCTATCACGAACCATCCAACCTGTCAGGAATCATCAATCTTCATATAATTAAGACACAATTCACATAATTCAAAGACTGTTTACAGGTTTTCCAAAAGAGGTTAAGGTAGTTTCAAACAAACGAGTTCGAAGTACATAATACATATTGTAAATAAAAGTGTACAGTAGATGTAAGTGCAATACAAAATTCAAAAGCAAATTAAACGTCTTAATATCAATAACAAATAGAACTGCTAATTAGTTTTGGTGGCGTCGCTTTATTCTGCACTACTAATAGTTAGCAGCAGTACGAGGGTGGATTGATAAGTTTCCGGCCTGACCAAGAAAAACAAGGTTTTTAAAAATTTTTTTTTTTTATTTCTCAACATAATCTCCTCCAAGGCTGATACATTTCTCATAGCGGTGTTCCAGTCTATTAATGCCATCTCTATAGACTGATTCGTCAAGCTCCTCAAAATAACCATTTACAGCTTCGATTACTTCTTCATTGTCCGCAAATCTCTTACCGCCAAGCCATTTTTTGAGATTAGGGAACAGAAAATAGTCACTCGGGGCTAGGTCTGGAGAGTAAGGAGGGTGCGGCATCAATTCAAACTTTAGATCGTTGATTTTAGCCGTCGCAACGATTGACGTGTGCGCTGGTGCGTTATCGTGATGAAACAAGATTTTTTTCTTCGCCAGATGAGGTCGTTTAATTTTCACCTCGTGGCTCAAACGTTGCAATAAGTCTGCGTAGTATTGACCAGTGATAGTATTACCCTTTGCAAGGTAATCAATGTATATAATACCTCTTGCATCCCAAAAAACAGTAGCCATAACCTTGTTCGCCGAAAAAATTGTTTTTGCCTTCTTTGGAGTTGGTTCCCCTGGTCCAATCCACTGTTTAGACTGTTCTTTGGTTTCAGGAGTGTAGTGGTGGACCCACGTTTCGTCAACGGTTACGAATCGACGCAAAAATTCGCTTGGATTACGCTTATACAATGACAAATTTGCGGTAGAAATGTTTTTTCGAATCAATTTTTGGTCGACTGTTAGCAAACGCGGCACCCATCTTGCACAGAGCTTTTCCATATGCAAATGTTGGTGCAAAATATGTTGCACACGTTCATATGACATCTTACAGGTCTCAGCTATCTCACGCACTTTCAATCTGCGGTCTCCCAGCACTATTTGATGAATTTTTTCGATCATATCTGGAGTTGTGACCTCAACGGGGCGTCCTGAGCGAGGCCCATCAGAGGTGCTCACACGACCCTTTTTAAACTCGGAAACCCACTGCTTAACGGTTGAATATGACGGGGAGGATGTCCCCAGTGTTGAGTCCATCTCTTTTTTAATTTCCTTCGGCGTTAACCCCTTCAAATAAAAGTATTTGATGACAGCACGATTTTCCTGCTTTTCCATTTTTACGAAAACCACAGAGGCGTCTTGTTCAGCGTGCTGTCAAACCTACACTAGCAAGGAGATCGGGCTGAAACTATAGCTACAAGCTATCCAAGGATGGTACTATAGAATGTCACCTCAAGGTAGGCCTAGTGGCGTCATCTCTTGGTTAGGCCGGAAACTTATCAATCCACCCTCGTATATTGCCTGATAGGAGCCCTTACAAGACTAACCCCATCCGAACAGATGTGATGAAGTGTACTCCATCATACCACTGAAAATATGTAGCAAGTGTATTCCTACATATTTTCTGTGAGGACAGATGATAATGGATCAATAATTAGCATTTGGTAGCAATTACGAAATTCATAAAAATTTTTATTAACAAATTAATTGTTGCTCACCTACTTCTTCGATTGGGATTAACGACTACAGAAAAGGATTATTTTCCCAAGATTTCAATGCAATAGTAGTGGATTTATATTTTAAAAATGGACACGAAAGAAATCACCTTTTCTCAATAATTTTTCTCTTATTGAAGAAAATTTATCACTTTGACAAATCGGACCTTCTTACCCTTTTTGAAAACGTGATTCGGTAGTCTATAAAATGGTCAAGTTCAGCCAGCAGATAAAGGTAACAAATTTTTACGATTCCGATATATTGATTTTCAGAAAGACGGGAAATAAGACTTTGTTAAATTCCGGTAAGCTTCCATTATAAAAATGCGGAACCAGATGCAAAAGCGGATGTGAAAAAGTATGCGGAACTTCTGTAATTGCGGAAGTGGAAGCAAAGATCTGTTGCAACACTACTGCAGAAAATGTAATGTGACTTACCGCGACGTGTATGCGTAGAAGATGTGCTATTCGCATAGTAGCCAGTGCAGGCGTAGGAAATGGGTTGGAGGGGTCAGGCCAATGACGCTGCCCCTTCAATGGCCCTCGTTTACGGAATTTCGCTGTTCCGGTTACGTAGGCCAGCACATCGTCTCGATTTTTCTCTTCCGTTTTTTATTATTTTTTTGTTTCGTTCTTTCTTTTGATCGTCTTAAGCTCAGTCCAAGTCTAGGAGAAGTCTTTCGTATTTGACAATCTTTAATATCAGCTTCGCTCGGGCGAACAATCTGACAAAGTAATAATACCTAACCATTTAGGTGATCTTCTCCCTGAAACAAAGAAAAATTCATTGTAAAATATGAAGGATAAAATTAAATTTTTTATGCACGTGTATCCCAGGGAAACTGTTCCTAATGCGCAGGTTAACTACTACTGTAAAATTATTAATAAAACCAACTGGCCAAGAATTTTCTGAAAAACCTTTAGAGTCTTTTATACTAAGTGAAACTATGTAATTACATGAGCCCTCAGTGGCGTAGGGTAAGGGGGTCATAATGTCATAAAATAAAAGATCTTACACAATAATGAAAATAGGAAGGGCGGCAAATTTAAACTAGACCCCGGGTGGCAGAAATTCACGTTGTAACCCCTTGTACAATATAAGTGTCATGTACCTGTGGTGTCTAGTACTTACTCTTAAGGATATACTCACTAAATTATTAAACTAAATCAGGAAATCCAAATAACTTAGATCGTGAAAATCACTGAAGTCAATTTGTAGAAAGCTATAACTAGTTTTTACGTCCTTTTTCGCCAATACGTAACACATGAATCACTTTCATGTCATTCACTCGAGATATTATCGACTTCTTTTCAGAATTACAACTGATTGATCAAATTTAGAAGATTGATTTAAATAATGAATGATTATGTTATTCTAATGACCGGGATGGAGTAATGAATGCGCATGACGTCCGCCCTATTTCGTCATCTCATTGGCCGAGCCACCCTCACGTTTCAATACGCAGCTTTCTGATTCGTCCTGCTAAAACAAGCGAATAGGGTGAAAAATTATAATGAGCTCGTAGTAGCATTTTTAAGAACGAAAATGCTTACGTATCGGGTAAAAAAGGAGAAGAATTAGAAATAATGAGACGTTTATCTTCGCTGAGATTTTTTGCTTTCGTTATATACGTATTAATACCTCTAAGGCAGTTCGTGAATGAGATTTAATCAGCTCAATTAAAGATCAGATTATAAATAAAACTTTTCTGTATTTCGTATTGGAAAAATTGTTCGCTTTTCTCTAGGTCTAAGCAGTATTAATTGAGCGTCTATAAATACACTTTTAAAAGTCGCTTTTAACGCAATTAAGATTTACCGAGAACGTTAATCCTGTATTTTCACTCCTTAAAAAGTACGTAAGCATGAAAATAAAAGGAACTAAATTTAGAATAGTAATTTATTATACTTTAAAATGAAAGTAACTAACAAATTATTTACGTATGCTTTGAAATACAAGTCGCACAACTCTTCGAGATAAGATACCTAATACATAGAGAATTTTTATTTGCAAGATTTAGAGCTAAACTGATCGTGATTTCTAAAGTTTTTTGATGAGGATATCAGTGTTTTAACATTGAACTAAACACTGTTCCATCAGATTCGATATTCCGGTAAAAAAAAATATTACCTTCTAAGTTCCGATGGTAAATTTGATTCGGTTTGAAAAAACAGATTCGAGTGTAAGCTCTATCATAATTCATAAGACATATTTCCATCCTTTAATGAGACGTTTTAGTAGTCAGGTAATTTCAGAATACAGTAATGGCAGAGCCTTAAAGTACGAAGAAAGACGAAAGAGCAAAGAGAAAATCGAAGAGTTTTTAACAGGAACATTTTGATTGGGAAGTGAGAATATAACGACAAGGTACTGGGACTTTTAGATGTCAATGATAACAGTAAATGGTGCAAAAAAAGGAAAATTCAAATGGAAGGTAAGGATGGTCTAACAAAAGGATGAGGAAAATCTTATGGCGGAAAATATCAGAAAAGAGAGAATGTTAAAAAAGCTTATATTGTAAAATTCATGTGTATTAGGTATAGAGTAAATGTAAATGCACCTTCTATAGATATATGAAACACAATGTTTGTAATAAATCTATCAATCTATCTATCTAGTAATGGAAGAGGAGATAATTGTATAAAATAAAATGACAAACCTGATACCAACGCTACAATCACAGATAGATAGCAGCAAATCATTATATAGTTAGTGACTAGTCGAAACCAAATTTGGTTTTAATGGTTGCCGTGGTCGATCCCCTATATCCTAACTTAATCTAAGTCCTTGATGCATAGCATTCATAATCATTACCATTCTATTACATACGAACCATATATACGGGGTCTGTTCAAAAAAGTATCACGAATTTTAAATTTCCGCGGGTTACGTACATTCGATTTTCGAATGTTGACTGTTACATATGATGAAGCTACATTGGACCGAAGCAACGTTTATCGGTGGTACAAAATGTTCTTAGAGGGTGAGAAGATGTGAACGACGAAGATTAACGAAGACATTGATGAACAGAAGAAAATAGTATTGGCCAATCGTCGAATCACCATTAGAGAATTTGCTGAGGACATAAACATATCGATTCGCTCCTGCCATTCGATTTTTACCAATTATTTGGGCATAAGACGGGTCGCCGCGAAATTCGTACCAAAATTGCTCAATTTCGACCACAAACAGCATTGTATTAACATTGCTAAGGAGTTGTCGAACTCTGTCTAAGACGACCCAAATTTACTCCAGAGGGTCATACCTGGTGACAAATAATGGGTTTATGGTTATGACGTGGAAACTAAAGCTCAAACATCCCAATGGAAGCTACCGCACGAGCCAAGACTAAAAAAAGTACGCCAAGTTAGGTCGAACGTGAAGGTTTTGCTTACAGTTTTTTTCGATTGTAGGAGCGTGGTGCATCATGAGTTCTTGTCATAGGGTAGAACGGCTAATAAGGAATATTACCTGCAAATTATGCGAAATTTGTGCTAAGCAATCTGCCAGAAACGCCCGGATTTGTGGAAGAACAAAAATTGGCTTTTGCAGCATGATAACGCCCCTGCTTACACATGGTTGCTTGTGTGCGAATTTTTGAACAAAAACAACATACTAATAATACCGCAGCCGCCGTATTTTCCAGATCATCAAGTGATGATGATTTGCAGTTGATTACAATTCAAAATGATCTATAAACGGTTGTATAAAACAAGATGTATGTTTTTCAATTTTTTTTATTAAATGCCATATCAAACATACCTTTGCTTCAGAACCGTTGGGGTCCAAGTCGAACTTGTACTTAACTGATTTTTAGAAAGCAACGGTCATGTTTATCATATTAACCGATGCGTGAACTATAATTCGTTTACAATACCTACCTGTCAATACCTAAAACGTATGATATAAAACGTTGGGATAGTTTGCGTGGATATTTATAACAAAAAGGGCGAGTCAGACTCCTGCCCTGAGGATTCCGTACGAACTTGTAGATATGTAAATAGTTCGTCCACCACGATAACCGTTTGGGAAATTTTTCTCGCCTTTTCCGAGTGTGTTTCAAGGTTTCCCCCAAAATCAATCACCAAAACGTGTAATTAGAATATTATAATTAGGAATTTACGAATTTTGTGCAATAAGATTCTGCTTCTTAACAAATTTCACGATTATAGGTTAATAGGAAGTACCTTGTAGATTTTTTGACTTTGTTCCCTGTCCGTCTATCAAAATGCTAAAAGTTTCATTTTTTCACAGCTCCAAGGGATTGCAGATCTGAATATTTGATATTATAGGGTTGTTGATTTAATTGTATTCTTTTGCACCCAACTCCACATTTAAGCCGTATAATTTTTATATGCTTTGAGAGCTCATATAGCAAGGCTTGTGTGTGAAAAATTCCAATTAATTCTACGCAGTAGTTTTTGGTTGGTGCCCTTTTAAATATGGAGAGCGATAAGCAGCATTTTCGACATATCTTACTGTTTTACTACAGAAAGGGTAAAAATGCTGTTCAAGCCAGAAAGAAATTGACTGATGTGTATGGAGAAGGTGTGTTGACAGTACGCCAGTGCCAGAACTGGTTCGCTAAATTTCGATCCGGCAATTTTGATGTCGAAGATGCACCACGTTCGGGAAGGCCGGTTGAAGCTGATAAAGACGCGATAAAGGCATTAGTTGATGTGAACCGGCGAATAACAACACGTGAGATCGGATTGAGGTTAAATTTATCAAATTCAACAGTTTATGACCACTTGAAAGGCCTGGGATTATCCTCGAAGCTCGATGTATGGGTTCCCCATGTTCTCACAGAGAGAAATCTGTGTCGCCGCATTGACGTCTGCGATTCGCTTCTCAAACGTCACGAAAATGATCCGTTTTTGAAGCGCATCATCACTGGGGACGAAAAATGGGTTGTATACAACAACGTCAAACGCAAGAGGTCATGGAGCAAAAAAGATGAACCGGCTCAAACCATTTCCAAAGCCGATATTCACCAAAAAAAGGTGATGCTGTCTGTTTGGTGGGATTTTAAAGGAATCGTTTTTTTTTAGCTTTTACCGGATAACACAACGATTAATTCGGAAGTCTACTGTCATCAGCTGGACAAACTGAATGATGCACTTCAACAGAAAAGGTCAGAACTAATCAACAGGAAAGGTGTAGTGTTTCACCAAGACAACGCGAGACCTCACACAAGTTTGGTCACTCGCCAAAAGCTTTTACAGCTTGAATGGGATACAATGCTACACCCACCATATTCTCCAGACCTGGCACCATCGGATTATTATTTGTTCCGGTCACTCCAAAATTTTTTAGACGGTAAAACCTTCACCTCAAATGAGGAGGTCAAAAACCTCCTCGATCAGTTTTTTGCCAGCAAAGACCAAAAATTTTATGAGCGTGGAATTATGCTACTACCAGAAAGATGGCAAAAGGTGTTGGACCAGAACGGTCAATATATAATTTAATAAAGTATTTGTTTATTATACGAAAACTGTCTTTCATTTCCACAAAAAAAAACGAAATGACTTTCCGAACAACCCTATACAATATTATAATTAGGAATTTACGAATTTTCTGCAATAAGATTCTGCTTCTTAACAAATTTCACGATTATAGGTTAATGGGAATTACCTTGTAGATTTTTTGACTTTGTTCCCTGTCCGTCTATCAAAATGCTAAAAGTTCCATTTTTTCACAGCTCCAAGGGATTGCAGATCTGAATATTTGATATTAATTCCAATTTGGTATCAATTCCAATTTGAT